AAGGATAGTGGTTTGATTCTCTCAGAATAGAGAGAAGATGTCCATCACCTTAATACACTAGCAAAAAATGGAGGCTTGCTGGGAGTGAGGGGAATTATATTAGGGCTGTCCATACAGCTTTGTTTGTCAGTATCCGATCACCTGAAGGCAGCAGCCCTATATTCTAAGACTCTGATCCTGGATTGTACGATTAAGGTAAAACATTTGGAAAACAGTGGAGTGCTTACCTTTTACCGGCCAGTTGTAAGCAACAGACGGACTTTCTACTCAAGTTTTCAAAATTGGCTCGAGAAATCATGGAGGTTCAGATAGAATAGTAACAGAAGAGCAGCAAAATGTCTGAATGTACAAATTGCCACACACATTAGCAGGATAACACTTCAAACTGCATCTAGCTAATAAATGCAGAAGGATAAGCCACCAGCACACCAGGGTCCACTTTATCTTCCCGTAATTTATTACGGGCAGATAAACATGGTATCACATATAGATGTGTAATTTTCCGGAACCGTTATATGGTCCCTTCATCAGGCAAAAGAAAGTGTGACAACCAGAGTAACCAACCATGTAATAAAAGCATCCCCTACTAGCTGTATATTCTGCTTTTTGTGCAAACTTGCCTTGTGTCCATGTGAGCTGGGGGAGCCATTGCTGTAACTTTGTGCTTCTGAAGTGCTGTAGTTGGTTCTTACTGGTGGATTGCTGTGTAACACTGATGGTACCATGCACTGTGCTTCAAACTGCTGGCTCGAGGATGGCCACTTCCCCTTCAGAACTGAGTGACAAATGTTGTCAATTCGGTTAATAATCACTCGATCCTATAAAGAGAGGGCATGGCAAATTAAAACTTTGTGCAATACATTTATATAAAAGTTGTACAAAAATAAATGAGTGTGATACAGTGCGTTTCAGAGCCTGACCGCTCTGGAACGCACTGTTTGTGGTGTGAACGGGCCCAAAAATGCTTGCTTTAGAGACTACCAAAGTCAAAGCAAAAAAATCAGCACTAGTTGAGACTTTTACAATTAAAACATAAGGAAAAACTCTGCCAGCAAAGACACGTAAAGGAAAAATAATGACTCTTTCTGTACATTCCTATACTATGAAAGGTAGCAGAGAAATATTTGGCTTACACACCTTGGGCCACTCAGAGAAGGAATACAGAGTTTTCTCCTGCAGAAGCTGAGCAATGGTAGGTGCTCGGCCATCATGGAAGTCCTGTGCCACTTCCCTCACAGTGGATATCGAGCAGCTTTTTATCTCTTCCTCAGGATATTTATCGAAAAGGTCTATAAAACACAGGGTAAGAAAATATTTAAAAAAGGTTAAAAAATCTGGGAGGAGGGTAGGAAGGGAAACAGGCATGTCATATTATTCTATGCCCCCAAATAGATCTAAACCCTGATAAGATTTGTCACAATAAAAGTTCTTATACAATTACTAATTAAAAATAAATAAACTATCTAATATAATATGTACACCGATTGGTTATGACATTATGACCCCCTGCTCAATATTGAGTAGGTCCCCCTTTTGCTGCCAAAATAGCCCTGACCCATCCAGGCATAGACTCCACTAGACCTCTGAAGGTATGCTGTAGTGTCTTGCACCAAGCCATCAGTAGCAGATCCTTTACGTCCTGTAAGTTGTGAGGTGATCGGCCTCCACGGATTGGACTTGTTGTCACAGCAGATTCCACAGACGCTCAATTGGATTGAGATCTGGAGGCTAAGTCAACACCTCAAACTCATTGTGTTCCTAAAACCATTATTGAACCATTTCTGCAGTGTACCAGGGCAGATTATCCTGCTGAAAGAGGCCTCTGCCATCAGATAAATACTATTTCCATGAAGGCGTGTACTTGGTCAGCAAATGTTTACTGTCAGTAGTAGGTGTCAAAGTAACAATCACATGAAGGGCAGAAGCCAAGGTTTCCCAGCAGAACATTGCCCAAAAGCACCACACTGCCTCCAGCTCTTCCCCAGGTAATCTACATACATGCACCTGGTCACCCAAATTATGTAAAAGAAAACTTGATTCATCAGACCAGGCCGCCTTCTTCCCTTGCTCCATGGTCCAGTTCTGATGCTCATGTGCCCATTGCAGGCGCTTTTTGGCAATGAACACAGGTCACAATGACCATACGCAACCAAGCTGTGATGCACTGTGTGTTCAGACACCTTTCTATTGGAAACAGTATTACATTTTTCAGCAATTTGAGCTACAGTAGCTCTTCTATTGGATTGGACTACGCAGGCCAGCCTTTTATCCCCACGTACAGCAATGAGCCCTGGCTGCTGATGACCCTGTTGCCCTTCCTTGGACCATTTGAGGTAGACCGCTGCAGACCAGAACATCCCACAAGAGCTGCAGTTTTGGAGTTCCTCTGATCCAGCCAAAACAATTTGGCCCTTGTCAAAGTCGATCAAATCCTTACGCTTGCCCATTTTTTTTTCTGCTTCCAACACATCAAATTCGGGTACAAAATGTTCATATGCTGCCTAATATATCCCACCCACTTCCAGGTGCCATTGTAATGAGATAATCAATGTTATTCACTTCACCTCTCAGTGGTCACGATGTTATGGCTGATTGGTGGATTTGAGCACAGACATGCTTCCAGTTCTATTGCAGAGTGCAGGTCAGTGACCAGAGTTCAGTTGGTCGCTCTCCAATAAAATGCCACTCGCTCCACATGTCCATTAAAGTTGATATGAGTAAGTATTCTGCATTTTGCAGAGTAGGGAATGGCTAAAGGGGATCACCAATGCATCTGGCCATAGTATGACCAGAAATGACACCCCAGATGATCTTATTCATTTGAAAGAAGAACAGTCTGCTACTCACAGCACCCAATAAAAATTAGTATAACATTTTTTGGGCCTAATGACATTTTCAATAATATTTCATGCACATGCTTACATTTTTATAAAATTTCCTTCACAGAACAAAAGTCAAACTCTCCAAAAACACTTTTAAAACAAACTCTAGGCAAACAGCTAAATACACAGATCAAGTACATGTCTGGGAGTGATTTTACATGCCAACGGATTTAGATTTCTGTCCTTAGATTTATGCAGCTCTGCCACACGGCAAAGTCCTGTCTGGCAGGGAAAAAGACCCGGATTTCCACTACTACAGTAAAGCAAAGCTTACTAGTCTGTCACTAGATAGTGAAAGGAGAAACAGCAGACTGATATCGATCATCGCTCTGCTCCTCCTATCAGCATGTCCCTTGTTAGCAGATAAGCACTGCAACCCAACTGACCATCTCCTTGTGCTGCTTCTTGCCCTCTCCCAGTCAGGAGCCCTGCTGTGCATGGGACAGCAAGAGGTGGATACTGGGTCAAAGTTAGGTACTCGCAACTGCTTCTTCGAAAACAGAAAAATATATATAAAATGAAGTATCAGTGGATATAGAGCTGCATGAATCTGTGTCTTATATATGCTTGGAACTTTACGCTGTGTTCATAGACTATGATACAAAAAACGTATCCTACAGAGTGCTCATGACTAAACCCCAACATAAAATGCACACTTATATTAAAGTACAAATGTGTTATGTGACTTTAGCATGCCAGAATTTCATAACATACCATATTTTGAAAGACAGACAGCCTTTGCGGATTGCTTACCTTTGCACGAGCACTCCTCCTCCACATTCTCCTTCTTGATTTCACAGTCTTCCATTTTCAATTTCCCATCAGAAGTAGATGCGGATTCCTCTGCCAGCTTTTCATCCGAGGCTTTGGCTTTCAATTCCTCAGTGTTTTGCTTTAAGAGGCCAGAAAGCATTTGACTAGCTTTGTGTCCCGGCTCCAGAGAGACTTTACTGTCCAAGGCATGAACAACACAATCCTGGTCTAGCTCCAAGACATCATTCTGAACTCTCAAGTCTTTTACTTTGTGCTCTTCAGAACTTTCTTCCAAAGGAAGATCCTTCATGTCATCTAACTCCTTCTGCCATTTTACAATGGGGTCATCTTTAATTTCTTGCAGCTCAGCTCCCCAGTCCTCTTTTTCTTCGACCGGAAGATGGCTGCAGTTTGGGCTGTCTGGACCATCTCTTAATATGCTACATTCTTTGATCTCCTCATTGAGACTGGGGCTCAGAGTTGAATGTTCATATGTTTTGTCCAGAAACTCCAGATCCAGGCCTAGGGACTGCTCAGCAGTTTGGCCCAGATCTGTAAAAAAATGGTCATCATTTAAAGTCTTTGGGCCCCTTTGTCCGATGCTTTGCTGTTCATCCTCCTCTACTGACAAGCTGATATGGTTCCCGCTGCTGTTAAACAGTTTGCCCAGGTTGCCATCTTGGCCTTCTAAAGGATCCTCCTGTTCACTGGTTCCCAGAAAACAGTCTCTAGAAACAGGCTCCTCACTCTGTGATAAATTGTCCACCTTAGTCTTATTGAGAGAGTAGTCATTTGGCTCAGACTTTTCCTCTAATCCTAGGAAACTTTCCTGAGCGAGGGAGCGCTGTTCACTGGTGCCGACTTGAAGAAGGGAGCTGTTGCAAGACTTCTTGTCATACATTATACACATGAGCGAATCAGGTAGAGAACACCCGTCATGGTTGTTGGTTATCATCTCGCCCACTCGGGAGGAGAAATTCCCAACTTCCTTAGGACTGCAGTCAGGTCTTCCGATGGGCTCCTCCACAGCTTCAATTTTAATCTCATTTTCAGTCTCCACCTTTGCAGAATCAAATGTCCTCTCTAAGTGACAAGTAGCAGGTTCATACAACTTGGAGCCCATCTGGTAATGGCAACACATATTCTCACTACTGCTTCTCTTATGCTGAGAGTAATTCCTGTAGGCATCCAAAAAGGAGAGCTGAGAATCATTCATGATGTAGTAATCCGTACGGCTTAGCCCATGCTTGGCAGTGCCTAGTAGAAGGTCTCTATCATGTTTACCACATTCCCACCATACAGGAAGGTAAAGGCTAGGCCTACATAGTTTAAGCCGCTCATTGAGTTGTGGGTGCCTCAAAACCTGCTCCCGAACCTTGCGAAGAAGTTCTATACGATATAAAGTTCTTGCTGCACGTTCTTCCGTTATTGGATCCAAATAAATAGAGGGATCAGCAGACCCTGCAAAAATGGATGTATAGCAGATGTCATTCTTTATTAATAATTACTCCGCTGCACCGTCAAACATTTATGTTGTAAAGCTAAACACTAATTCTGAAAACCAAGTATAGATATTTAAACTTCACATATACAGATTTCATACATATTTTCTCGGTCTCACGAATTTGTGAGCACTTGATATACACAATTGCTGGGTTATTTTAGGATTCGCCCTGAAGGAAGCTCCCATTGTGTTTCACCTACAAGATAGTGTGCATGTTCACTAATCAGGGAGGCATAGACCATGTCCATTCTTCTACTGTTTTTGTTCAAATCAGGTCCATGAACGTGTAAACCCTGCTCACATATGACAGCATGGTGCCTGGTGAATGGCCCAATGCTGTCATACAGGGGTGAGGAGAGTTTCCTCAGCCCTGTGTAAACTTCAATTAGAGGAACTGGAAACTTACACAGCATTTTCTATTCTTCCTCCTAACAGATGCATGGGAAAATGCAGCATTAAAGGGTCAATCCATCCACTTGTGGTAATTTGGTTATGGATTGAGTTAACTGGATTGGACCATGTGCTGGCTTCTTATATATTCCTGGGCATCGAAAAGGTCAGAATTTGCCAATGGAGATCCTTGTGCAGCCCCACCTCTACAAGCAGTCTCAGCAGGAAGAATCTCAATACTCCAAAACCACTAACATTAGAAAAAAACAACCCAGAATAAAAAGATATTTATGATGCTTGTGCACTGCTTAACCAACAGCATCTAAAATCAAAATATTAGTATGAGATTAGACTGGACAGTGTTATCCTATTAATGACATTTTCAATTACAAAAACTTATATTGCTTCAGACTGGCTAGCGCTAAATTATACCAAAATAATATTGACATCATTCTCTTACCATCATCTTTTCTGAGAGGGAGGCGGCACACATTTCTGCACATGGCCACAAAGCTGTGGAAGTACTTTTCTAAGCTCTCATCTGTCTTCTTATCAAGGCGGGACAGTGCGCGGAACTGCATCCAATCAAAGCACTTCTTATCTGGATCATAGATGACTCCAAAGGAGGACACTGTCCGATAGAAGTCAGCCTGCTCCCTTCTGGTCCATCTGGAAAATGAAACAACATGTATGCCTTTAATCTGTGAAGAACTTGATATTATACAGGGTATTTAATATAATCTGCTTTTAAAAGCGTTTTCCAAAATGTGGTATGTGGCAATTGTTAACATCTACAACAAAATGAAGCCCAAAAAGGAGGAGGTAATTGCTCCTTGGAATAAATTGCTTTTCCTCCTCTAATGCCTAGGAATGGAAAGAACAGTTACAACAGTTTGGCAGTAGAGGAATCATGGAGATGTCAACCTGAACTGAAACGGTCTACTCTTAAAAGGAGAACTATGAGGTGAGTGATTTTCACTCAACCTCATAGTTCAAGCTGACTTGTGACAATGAAACTGTCACAGGTCGGCTAAATAGACTGGGAAGTGAGCAAACACATACCGCCGCTCGCTCAGTTCTTGATCATGTCCCTGCAGAGCAGTGACAGTCACTCACGGGCTCCCTGCAGTGATTCCCCTCCTCCAGCGCTGACTGGTGGAACTGACGGGTATGGGGGTGGGTACAGCTGGCTCTGCCTCTAGATAGGCAGAGCCAGCTGTCAATCACGCAGCTGTGCGGATCTAGACAGTAATGTCTGGATCCGTCCCGGCTGCGGCGGTCGCAGTATACTGCAAGTTGTAGCTCGCGATATACTAAGCTTTGGGTCACGGGAAAACGCTAGTTTATGTCCTCCTGTGACCCGTAGGAGAACTATGGGGGAAAAAACACATACCCCATAGTTCTCCTTTAAGAGTCATGGTGGACAATTTAGAGAAAGCAGTGTGTTAAACAGATGCTGGTTTTCTCACACAGCAGGCAGGTATGGAAAAGAAAGGGTTCAGTCCCATGCTCTGGGGACAGGAAATAGACAGGGTCATAGATTTGCGAGGCACACTCAGAAAGTACAGTTGAAGGACCTCAGTTTAGGAAGATAGTCCATTAGAATGGATTCTTTGATATGGCAAAGGTCATGGTGAAGACTGGAATGAAGGAAACAAATCTGTTGTCCACAGCAACCAATCAAGCTGCTTTCACTTTACAATCCATATTCATTCTGCAGTACACTGAAAAAAAAACACAGCTTCAATGTTAGACAATCAGAGACAAACAAAGCCATACCTTTTCTGTATTTCTTTCATGATAGGATCCATCTCTGCTCTCCTGGCCATATCCTCTTGCAGCCAATAGTTGTGGTTGGTGGGAGCCAAAATCTCCGGCCGAGATATCTCCTTGCGGTTGCAGCGCTGGTATATGGTTATGAGTCTTCGCAGTCTAGCAGTCAAAGCTGACGCAACGGGCCACAAGAGTTTGTCTGATTCAGGGCTATCCTGGGCTTCAGACATCATAGGAAACATGAGCAACAGCAGTATGGCAACAAAAAGTAAGAAACAAACTGGTCACAGCTCATATTCTCACCTGTACTGATCTCCTCGTCCACCTGCTCCTCAGTGTTCTCCTTGATATTTGAGTTCTGGCAAAAAGTACATATACTATTTTAATTATAATAACATAAGCCACGACTGGAAAAGTTACTCTATGAAGAAATAAGCTGCTCCCTGTTCAAATTGGAGCCATCAAGTGTAAACATAAAAGCTTTGTTACCAGTTTTGCTGGAATGGACTCTCCTCCAAGCTCCATCCAGTGACGGCCACATGTCTGAAGGCATAGGCATTTGGTCATGGGATTTTTTTTCTACTGTTGGCCAGTGAGAGTTAGGACTTGTTGCTCATCCCCTTTAACAGGGATAATTTGACCAAGGACCAAGTGCTTTTCAAACACGTGAGCAGCACTGCAAGGAGCCTTCAGCTGCAGTTCAGTATATTAGAGGTTTCTCCATCTCAGTAAAACAGACAGCTGTATGTTAATGCTGGATGACAGGTCCACCTTAAAAGGGAATTCTAGGCTAGAAAAACTATATATAAAAGCAGTTTATTATGAACAGTATAGCAATATTGGGCTGAGCCTGCCTTTGCTACTAGCTAACAGCCTCAATTATTTGTGGCATGAATTTCACATTCCACAAACATTCCTTTCAAATTCTGGTCCTTGTTGACATGATTGTATCATGCAATTTCTGCAGATTTGTCAGCTGTGAAACTCCCATTCTGCAGCATCTCAAAGTGTGTTCTATCGGATTCAGACCTTCGAGATTCATCAAGACAGGCTACATTTTTCCAGTCTCCTACTGTCCAGTTTTGGTAAACCTGTGTCCATGCAGCCTTTCTGTTCTTGGCATACGGGAGTGCAACCAGTAAGGTCTTCCGCTGTTCTTAAGGTTCAATGTGTTGTGAATTTTGAGATGCTTTTCTGCTCACTGAAGTTGTAAAAAGTGGTTATCATGATACCTTAAGGCTGGGCACACACCTTACAACCATCGCAAGACTTTTGTCTTGCGATGGTTGTAAAGGTACTTAAAAAAACGTACGATCTGCCTATGTTGCATAGGCAGATCGTACTTGCGATGATCGCAAGCCACGCCCCCTGAGGGGCGGGCTTCCAATGACCGCAATGTCGATCGGGCAGTGTGCGCTTGCGCACACCGGCCCGTGCGGCTGTTATCGTACGGACATGCCACAAGCCCGCCGAACATCGTACGATGCTCGGTGGGTTTTCGAACATCTCCGTAAGTTTAAAGTCTTGCGACCTTACAGTAGTAGAGGTCGCACGGCTTCCACACACTTTACGATAATCGTACGATCGCGGGATTTCCCGCGATTATCGTACGATAATCGTAAGGTGTGTGGGGACCCTAAGTCTGTCTGTCAGCTGGAACCATTCTCCTCTGGAAATGTCGAAAATACATTTTTAAATCGGCATGTTTTTTGCACCAGAGTGCAGGGGGGAGACTTGCCTTTGCCTCCTACATCTGAGGACTCTGTCGTTATACGTGATTTTTAACCTACGATCTCGTAAGTGCATTTGTTTGTGTGTTCTGGAAGAATAAACTTTTTTACAGCACTTAGGCGCCCTCCCCTCCTTTCTCCACATCTTTTTCTCCTTTGAGATGCAACAGTGTAGTGTGATTTGAATGAAAAGGAAGGGGGGAGCTGCAAGGTTTGCCAATCCATGTGGGCTTGAAGAGGCGGCCGATTATTACAAATAAAGAGATCGAGTTTGGGACATAATCGTTGCACACTATGAGGATATATTGAATATAACTTTTTGGACAAAAGTATGCTTTTAATGAAAGGAAAGTAAATCCATCTTCTTTTCCTTCTAAGAAACACCTGGTGGGTGTATGGACAGATATGTTGTAGCAGTAGAGGTATTACCATTATGTCATTATAGTGAAACCATTTCACCTGTGCACCTGATACTTGCCATGCCATATATGTTCAACAAGAGTATAAGATTTAAAGCACTATGCACTAATTAGAGTGGAATTGTAGATTAGCACATTTGCACTTATACACGTGCATCTATAGTTGGGACATAGATCCAAATTTATAGTTTGCACAGATTTTTCACTTTCATTTTCTGAATTGTTGATCTTAACCATACTCATTAGCATGAGATAATTTCACTCATTAAGTTTATTTATATACACTTTGACTGAGCGCAACAAAAATTAGCACCATTATACATGATTATAATAATCACATATTGTTGCAGCTGATCTATTGTTTGGAACACAATTATACTCCTAGCGCAGCTATTGTTATTCATTAGTCGATATTGTTTTAGAAAAACTGTCACATGACAATAAACAAAAATGTATCAGTACTTGGGCAAGTACCAGTACTCACAAAATTGGTATCAGTGCATCCCTTTATATGCGTTTATAAAAACAAAATCATACATTAAAACAGAGATGTACAAATCCCAGGAGCTCCGTGTGCTCCTTACAAATGACAGCTGCCTCCTAACTTTTGAATTTTTCTCTAGTCTTGGAGCTGGAAAAGTATCGGTATATGTACTTGTATCGAGTACTGTTCTTGGTATCGGTGCATCCCTAGTTTCTAATAAAGCGCTTGCAGAGTATGTGTGTGTGTATGTGTATCCATCTTAAAACACACACGTACAGTCTAAGGTCTTTTCAAGGACCAAATGAATGGTTTTTATTTAGTTCTCTACAAGTATTTGTAACATAATTGGAGCTTCCTATGTCAGTTCTAACTCCGGTCATATTTTTCTTATAGTTTAGGGTTTACAGGTTGTATCGGGGTACATGGGACTAGACACTTGAGACCCCCCTCTTACCTCCTGCTGCCCCTCCTGTTTGTCTTCATTATTCTCTTCTTTCTCTGGGCCAGATCTGCACAAAATTATTTTATTTATGATTTATTTAACTACATGGATGCATGCAAGATCAAGTGGTAAACTTATTACAAGTCATAAACATACAAATAAAAAAGTGATTTGTTATTACCTGAATTTGCTTCAAATATCCAACATGTAAGAACTGGATCACTTACCTTTCTGCTAGGTCATTACTGACATCATTAACGCCATCAGCAGACAGGGCACTCTCATCTGGCATCCCCACCTTCTCCAGGAAGCAGAGGGCTGGATCTGCTCTCATGGCACAGTAACGCTCATATCCTATAGAGGTCAATCATTTTAATGTTAAAGCAGAACTTCAGGTTCAAATTTACAACATTCTCTGCGGTTCCTCAAGGCTAAACTCAACTCACTAAGTGAGCTACATGTCCTTTGATGTTCCTCATACCCAACGTTACTGAGGTAAGTCTACACTTTCCCCACTCTCATCCTACAACTCTTCTCATTTATAGCATTAGTTATATACAGTGCCAAATCTTACTTTTGTTGTTACTTTGTTGCTATTTGAGAACTGTGTTTTACCGATTTGTATATAATTTCTTGATCTTATTCCACTTACTACTTTGTGCCTAACTTTAGGCGCTCTTGTATTTTCTAATATTGAAAAATGTTGTACCTCTTTGGCATTGTTTCAATGTTCTATACCTTTTTCACAATAAATATTTATATGCGAAAAAACAAAACAAAAAAGTTGAATCCATTTATGCATTTATTTAACCACTTGATGACCGGGGTGTTAACCTCCTTCCTGTCCAGACCATTTTTCAGTATTCAGCGCTGCGGTACTTTGACATTTATTCCATCACGCAAATCTGTACTGAAATGAATTTTATATAAAAAAAAATTGGGGACAGATGGAGCTTTCTTTTGGTGGTATTTAATCACAACTGGGGTTTGATTTTTTTAACTTTACCCAATTTGTTGGTAAAATATAAAAGACGGGGTCACGTCGGGTAAATAGACACCAAACATGCCAAGCTTTAAGATTGCGCACGCTCACAAAACAAAACAAAAAAAATCGCAAAAAACTACCATGCCTAAAATTGACCATTGGCGACGCTCTAAAAGCTTTTACCGCTCAGAATTTTAGTGATATCAGTGATTGATGGGCCTAGAATTATTGCTCTCACTGCGGCGATATGTAACATGTGTGGTGTAAACGTTGTTTTTTTAACGTAGGCACACCCGACGCGTATATACATGTATAAGTGCGTGCGGGGGACTTGAAACTTTTTTTGGTGTTTTTTTAAAAATTTTATATCAGACTTTAATGGGGGGTTTTTTAACATTTATGTAGACATCAAGGGTCTCCAAGACCCCTAATGTCACCTAGGGACCCCAAAGCAGCCGATGAAGCAGCGGCAGAAAGAAAAAAAATCACGTACATGTACGTCCACCAGTCGGGAAGGATCGGCCGTTGTTATACACCAACAGACCTCAACTCTTAGGCGGTACACAAGAGGCATCCCTTATGTCCTCTCAGTGGTATTTTCCAGACACATCTTGGTGTATGTGTTGGGCTAGATAAGTGGAACAGCCCCAATGAACAATGGCCAATCTGCCACCATAAGGACACAAATGCAGTTTAACAATACAACTTGTACACAGCAGGGCCAGCTGTGGGGGAAAGGACTGACACAGAGGATATACATACCATGCTTATAAACGCCAAGCAGAAGTGATTTGTCAGCTTCAGCATCCCACCAGTCCACAGGTATTTCTACGTAGTCTATGTCAGGTAGCATTACTTCCAGGTCCCTGCAATAGAACGCAGTTGAATATGAATATTTTTTATTCACACTAGAAACCAGGGGATTGGACATGAGGTTCTGCTGGGAGGAAAATTCTTTGTTATCCTTTTTAGTACAGTCTAGGGATTGACCGATTATTGGATTTACAGAGAATCAGGGCCAAAATTCACAAATTTTTAAATTATCAGTTAAATTTACTGTCATTACCGATTATAAAAGGTGGCCATACACTGTGCAAATTTCGCACAGTGGGTGTCACCGTTTCCACCCTTTCAGCCGGCATCCCTCGATCAGCTGATCGAAGGACCTTGTCGGAAAATCTTTGTACAAACAGAGCCGCCAGCCAATGAGCCGCTGGATGTGTTCGGGTATTTTGACAGCAGTCGCTGTCAGAGTACAAAAGGTAAAGTGGGGATTTCTTGATGTCTCCACCCCCGCAAGATTCCGCAACTGTCTAGAGAACACCTCCCACTACTCTCTTCTCCATAACATAGTGGGAGGCATTTTGTAGCTCTCGGGAATAGCTGCAAACAATGAAACTGATAAGAGTGCAGCACAGATGGAGAGCACAGAAGTCATAAGCTTATAAGATTTGCGGAAAGATCAACAGGCATTTTTTGCAATTTTAACAAAGCAAGAGGGAACAAGGAGAAGTTAATTATTAGGGTTTACATATGCCTTTAAAAAAAAAACCAGCCTGTGAGGCAGACTCTTACCTTGCATGTACACCTTCCAGAGCTTTGACAGCTGCATCCCCAAGCACTTCTGCCTTTAGGTAGTACAGCATTCGTACCCGTAGAAGGACCCTGAAGTAAAGCACAATGATTAAATAACTGTGACATGCAATTATCATTTGTTTGGGGGGGAGGTGGGGAAATGTACAACCTCAAGCATTACTTTTCAGCATAAGACATTTCCAAACGGGAAATTTAACATGCTACAAAAAAAAAAC